ACAACAGTTTCCGCTCTAAAGCCACAACTACAACCCAAATAGTGGTTTCAGTTCTATTTATGTAGGAATTCGTCCTCATTTCATCAGCAGCATCCCTGTTAATAAGATATTTACTGGAAGTATATCTTGATAGAAACTAGTTCCAAGAAAACCTTCTCACACACTGAGGTCTGGATGACTCGGTGTAATTTGAGCGCTGCTTCTGGATGGTTAGAGGAGATTTCCAGTTTATTTCAAACAGCTGTATATCTGATTTATGTCGCTGTTGTGGCTCCAAGGTTCACTCTTTGCTTCCGTCGTTGGAAAATGTGAGAAATGAGGAGTCTCTCAAAGCCGCTTATCAATATGTGATAGTTTAGCACTTTAGCATCACCTCCCTGCAGCTTTCCTCAGAAAACTGATTATTTACACTGATCATGTTAAACACTTGTTTTTTGTGACTGACAGTAAATGCAGATCTGTAACGGCGGTTGCGCTAACTGTATGAGCTTTTACTGATTGTATGTAGAGCTGTGCAAAGCTAACACGATGCTTAGAGCCACTATAGTAACATTAATGGGAACCAAAATGCGGCTTTAACTTTCCAGAAACGGCGTCCCAGTTAGACCGAACCGTCCACGTCCCACTGCGTGGACACATCTTCAGTGTTTTTCTTTGCGATTTGGTCGGATTGAGCCTTTAAGCAAATTAATTTGAAGGGAAGTACTTGTTTCTCAATAAGTTGTTGTTTAGCAAGACCGAAGCAGAAGTTGATTGGTAAACTGTCACTTTCAAAGATTACAAACCTGACACTGACCTGTGTTGTGTAACTGCTGCGTTGGTTACACAACATACAGGTCTAAATAACACAAATGTCTCACAGGCAGTGAATTGCGTTATCTTACCCCAAATGGCCCCTGCAGCAGTGGCTGGAAGACTCCGTTGAAAGAGCATCGGCTGTATTTGCAGGAACTAAAATTGAAGACTCTTTTGACAACTTCCTGGCATTGTCTGAAGTTTCCGTTCCCCGTGTGATTGAAGATCGAGGGAGCTCCCTGGGGTTTCCTGTCTGACACACAGGGGCTGTCATAGAGGACGGAGTAGTTCTTGGTCTCCATGTAGCCCGGGTGGAAACAGGGATCTAATATTGCTCCTGGACCTGACTAGGAGAGAGAGCGAGATGGAGAGGTGTAACGGAGACACAGCGAGGAAGCTCATTAAATTTAAAGTGTCGATGCATATTTCAGCACATCATGCCTTTCAAAGCTTATTAAGTCTGTAATCCTCTCAGATTTTTATTAAATTTGAACAGTCCATCAGTGCGGCAGAGGAAAGCCAAGTAAGTTTACCTGCGTCTGCTGTGCCAGCGCCATTCGCAGGACTTGGTCTTTCCCGTAGCACAGGAAACTGTGAGTGTACAGGTTGTAATCATTTCCGTAGAGTCGGAAAGTTACAGAGTTGCTGGGTGACTCCGATCCGTCATAATTATCAGACACAAAGCTAATTTGAGTGGAGGCCCCGCCAAGGTCAAGAGCTCCTGTGGTTTCTAAGCCCTGCGACGGAGACAAAAAGGCATTGACGTCAGCGCACAGCAGGAGCACACCAACTGACACACTAGACAAAAACACAACCGAAAAGTGGACCAATGTGCACGGACCTGTACGTAGATCGACACGTACAGACCTGTGTGAGGCGATCATCCAAGTAGTTGACTGTGACCCAGCCGAAGGCGCCCTCCTCCTGCCCGCTGAGGATTCTCGCTCCCTGATAGGAGAAGGGGAACTTCTGCAGGGCTCTCTCCACCGCCTGAAACACCCTGTCAGACGCCGAGCTGTTCTCCATACTGCAAATATATTAGAGTGAGCCACATCCATAATTCAAATCGATACAGCAGCTCCATAAATAATAAATAGACTGTATCATAATGGATTCGACGAAAACATATTCGCTGCTTTGGCAGTGACGTTCGCGTGGAGATAAATCAGACAATTTGCGAATGGAAAGGGCTCCAGATAACAGCACTTTGGCTGCCAGTGCAAACATAATTACAGAGTTCAGAGACGTGGGATAAGATCACAACAGTGTCACCGTGAAAAGGCGTGTGTTTTTCTTTCATGTGTGCAGGTTTTATGTTGCGTCATGTGCGCGCCGTACTTGAGCAGCCTCATCCCTGCAGTGGCTCCCAGATAGAGGGGCGTTTCATGGTGGCGCTTGTGGGGGACCCGCTTCTCGGCCTCCTGCATGCACAGCGTCAGAGACTCCCCGGCCCTCCACGGCTCGGACGCATAGCTGGAGATGCCTTTACCTATGAGGAGAGCAAAATGTCAAGAGAAGGGTAAAGTCATTCATCCTAAATTTAGCAGCCATAAAACATAATAAGGGGCCTTCTTTAAAGGCGAGACTTCTTGGGAACTGAAGGTCATCTGTACATTCAGAAGAAAACCCGATGGAGGCGTCATCAAGGTGTCCTCTTACTGTAAGCATGCTTTATGTTCTAGCAAACGCCTGATCCTGAAGTTGCTTAATTCTGGTCGGGGGTGTCTCTCATGAGCTACAACTTTATTCTATGTTGTTCTGGCTGTTTACAGATCCAGTGACAAGACTAAAGACAGTCATTTCATAGTATTTCTTTTTGTAAAAGGATGGATTGCGTCAGTCTTTAGGTGCACAGATAAGATAATCTGTGTTTTCTATGTGTTCTTAATACACATGATGTGGCCACAGCTTACAACATCACCTGGCTAGTCCTTTAAATATGTGGTCGAATAAAGATAAGGGTCAGTTTGAGTACAAAATATACACAAAGAGTAAAGTGTTGATCATGCTGTCGATGGGAATTTGCTGTTACACTTTGATAATCGATGCAAAAACAGCGCTTGATGTTTGAAAATTAGCAATAAAATAAGCTCACAGAGGTGAAGCTAACAGCAGGAATGACGGACTAGTTAATATTATGCTGTGTTGTTAATTGCTTTATGGAGAACAACTGGTTGCATAAGAAAGTTGCTCTTTAAGCAGAGAAAGGCACAGGTGGAGTCGAGCTTGTCTCAGTACAAAGTATAACATGACCTCACAGAAACATGCAGAAAGTGTCGATGTCACTGTCTAAGAATTGTTGTTGTGTGACTAATGGCTTTATGAATGATTAATAGCTGGTTTGTTAAGGAGGAGAGTTGGAAGATTGCTGGCCTGGCTCCCTCCACAGGCCAGTCAGCACCTTTTATAGCTCACTAATTAACCAGCTGGATTTTGGTTGTTTAATACACATAAAAATAAACAGAATTTGCGGGTGTTGGAGCCTTTCTTGGCCAATGCAGTGACTTAGTTTGCTGTCACGGTGAGACCACCAAACAAAATTAAGCTAATGCTGCAGATTTTCTTCCATCTTTCGCAACTTTTAACCAAATATCCACCAGTTTGTTTTGTTTAGAAAACATAATGCAGGAAAGAAAAATGCAAATTGGTGTCATCGCATACTTTGTCCAGCAGAATGTGCTCCGACTTTGACTACAATACTCTTTATGTGCAGCACATGCAGCAGAGCAGCTGAGCAGACGGTGGTGCAGAGTCAAGCTGTGTCTTCAAGATAATTTGCAAAGTAATTGTATGTATGTTTGTGACATACATTGTTGATAATTTAGCAAAGAATGACCCTTTCATTCATCCTTTTCAACATATATTCTGTATATATATTGAAAGAATATCGGCCAATTTATTTATATCGGAATGTTTTATTCCGTAAAGACGATATTGATCCCAAAAATCCGTTGGGCTCTAGTTCATAGAAACCAAAACAAGCTCAAGAAACCCTTGTTTACTTATATGTATATATATATCTATAGATAACCAAACGTACACAGTACTATTTAGACATGCAAAGGCCTGAACTCAGAGAAGAACACGTCTTTTTATCAATTTCTTTATAAGCTCTTGCTTCACAGTTGTCGCAGAGGAATGTATTAATTGGTCAGCAGTTGCACACAGGACTATTTGACTGACCTTCCTCTAAAATCTTTCTGCTCCATCACTGTACACATTGGTAGGAAAATACCTAATTATCTGATTGCATTAGGACAGTATCCATCTGTTTTCTCACTCAGTAGTGAGTCTGTCTTTGCCTTGTCCGTAGCGAACACTCACAAATATCTCTCTGCAAATTATATTTTCTGTCTGACTATCACTAAAAAGGATTATCAATCAGTATATATTAGAGTCACTTTTGGATAACAACACGGTTTCCTTCACCTCTCAGCTGCTTGGCAGGTGGCTGTGTATTTAGGAATACTTTGTGGTTGCCATGTTGTGCGTATCCACCTCTATCATAACTCACATTTTGTAAACTTTACCTTTTGGAAAAACAGCAGCAGAGCATCCAGACCAAACATTTACAACTACACAAGGTTCAGCCCATTCATTTATCACTGGGAAATTCTGTAGCGAGCCGTCAGGTCTGCACTCCCTGAAGTTAGTAAATAATAAGCAAGAGGTTCTTCCAATACAGCAGGTCTGAAGTTAGTTAAAGAGTTTTTAGCAGATGTTGGCTGCAGACATCATTTTATAGAAGAGGAAGTTTAGAGTGGAAACTATTTCCTGTTAAATGATTAGTCAGAGAAGAGAAAATGTGTCATCCCATGAGCTTAAAGACATCGTGATAGTGAAACTGATGGTTAGCTGCAGACTTAAAGCTGCTGGTTTGTCTGGTATAAAGATTTCTATACTGCCGGATGAGGCTACACGTCCCTTAAAGGCATTTGCAGCCTAACAGCTTCGTAATAATGGCTAATTCATGAAGCATGAAAGCGTTAATGAATCCCAACTTACAACCGCTCAGTAAATATCTCATTAACTTATTCATGTATTTGCCGCAACAGAGAGTGAAATATATAAATATTTGTGCACATTCATTAAAGCCTGTGATTGCATGCACTTGTATATTTTCAGCATTTTGAATTAAAGATTGCACAACTGAATGTGGGGCCCAGTGAAGCGACACTTCACTTGTGCGACCTGTACCGTACCTTTGACTTTGCAGGAATGCGTCTGTTCCACTCGGCCAGTGTTGTTATCCTTCTCTGCACGCCACTGATAGATATAAAGAGCTGTGTGGGATGAGCCGGCGTCCAGCACGATCCCATACTGGAATAGAGACACAGGGAGAAATTCCAGTTAAAGCGTTCTGTGACATTAATTCTGGGTGAGTTATATGTCAGACGTGCAGCTTTAAACACGTCATGATTGCACAACATGCAGAGGAACTATATCAGCAAAACATGCACGTTTGTAAACTAGGAGACAGCCCTGTTGTAAAAAAAACTGCACCCTCGACAATCAATAATAGCTGTGAGAGTCAAGCTGCATTTGTGACAAAACCCAGGGGTGATTTAACATCTTTATCAACATCCCCCGTGGCCATATTTGGTGATGAATTTCTAAAACCAGTAGTACAGGTTGAGGTCATATTGACAAGAAGCCATATTTGGCTCGTGGACCTTGCACTGAGATCGCGATGCAATGCTCCCACACAGGGAATAGGCTACAACATTTCAGTACTTTCCTCCTCCATACCTTGTACTTTTGGGGGACGGGCCTGTTCTGCAAAACCGCTACCGTCACCAAGGCAACAATCGCTATGACACCAATCACAGTGATGATGATGGTCACAGGCGTGTGCCAGGGGTTCTTCTCTTTCATCTCTGAGAGCGGGGGCGGAAAGACAGACAGACAGACAGACAGGAAGGCGAGAGGGGCAGTGGACAGAGGAACGAAAAAGATGGGGACAGATTAGAAATAGGAAGGAAGGACGGGGGGTGGGGAGGTGGTGGTGGTGGTGGTGGTGGGGAGTGTGCGTTCGCCAGCCTTGCATCCAGATGTGAGTGATGTCACAGCATGTGTGTTTGTATGTTACAGACGAGAGAGAGACGAGCCTGTTGGACGCTGACTGTTTAATTGTTTTGTTTTGTAACCAAGGGCTACAGATGGATTTCTGATTTCGTACGTCTGAACTCACGCCAGGCTGCTCATTGATTCTCCGGGGGGTTTTGTTATTTCAGCCACAGTGCATTTAAAAGGGAATTCCACCAAAGTATTTAGCTAATGCTGAAAGATAAACAGGATTTCCAGTTTGGAGAATGATAAAAAAAAAAAAAGAGACTTGCTCTTTGAAAATAGCTGAACTGTTGATGAAAAACATGGGAACATTTGGCTTCAGTTTTATAGATAACGTTAACATTGTGGAAGCCTATTAAGACAATAGCTATGAGTCAGTGTGGGGGAAATGGAACTGATAACATCCTTGTATAGGTATTATTTTAATCCCAAATATATCTGGCGACTGCGTCTCCCATTCCTTCCTAAGAACTCATTGAGTTTCCACCGTTTACAAATGAGATCACACACACACACTTGTGCACACATCTTTTAGATTGCTTGCACTCATCCACGCTTCATAAAGGGACCAAAAAAAAAAAAAGCATGCAACAAGCTGCTTGTATTCACACGGCTATCGAGATGGAAAACACTGAACAAAATAACCCGTCTGAGAGCACAGAAGCAAACGCACGATTGTTTGATTATTACCAGGGTAAGTAAACTGGCAGACACCATGTAGGTGCACATGACAGCTGGTAAAGCACACACACACAATGCACGAGTGTGGAATACAGTGCACATTTCATATCTGCAGGACCTGCAGCACTGATTGTAAAACCCTGACCTTTTGTCTGTTGTGGAGGGAAGAAAAAAAAACAAACCCCAGAGTGAAACTTAAAGCACATAAAGAGAGAGGGAAAGAGTGCACTTACCTCTGTCGTCTACTTCAATGAAGTTGCCACTGACAGGGGGAGGGAGGGAGAGAGCAAAGAGAGAGCAAAGAGAGAGAGAGAGTAGGGAGGGGAGAGGGAAAATATGGACAGGACAGGAGAGAATGGACAGAGGGAGGTGGCGGAGTGATAAGATGAGGAGAGGTTTTTTCCGTCGTGGCCGGACAGAGGATTAGAATGGAGCTGTGTGTGTGTGTGAGGGTGTGTGTGTGTGTGTGTGTGTGTGTGTGTTTCTGCTGGAGCAGCTCTGGAGTTTGGCATTTCCTCCCCAAGCTGGGGCAGTAAAGCTGGTCACTATGGAGACACAGCTAAAGCGTGTGTCGGTGCTCTATCGTGTGCATGTGAACCCCCTTAAAAGGGTCTCTCTCTCTCTCTCTCTCTCTCTCTCTCTCTCTCTCTCTCTTTCTCTCTCTTGCTCTCTCTCTCGCTCGCTCGCCCCGGCGCTACTCTCCCTGTTCCTTGTGTGGGATGTGTAGGAGGGAGGGGAAGTGGGGACTCCCTTGTTTAGCTGTTTTTATTACTGGCAGGCTGTGATGTCATCTCAGTGACGGATTGGAATCCCCTTGCTTTTCTCTGTGTGTGTGTGTGTGTGTGTGTGTGTGTTAGAAGAATAGAGCTTGTGTGTGTGTGTGTGTGTGTGCACAGACTCCAAACACGACTTGCCTGCAAATTTCTCCATTTCCATTTAATGTCCTCCTCCTGCTACACACATGTAAGCGCATTATCTAACTGAATTACTGTCAACTTAATTCTTTTCCCGAAACTTATCACTCCCCAAAACTTCCTCCCCATAGAGAACTGTAAAGTAACACACACACCCACTGCAAAGTATCCTGTAATTGTTTGACAATCTTATTCCCTAGAAAAAGAAGAAAAAAAAAAGAAAAAGTTCATGGCTGTTCCTCTTCCTGTTAAATCATTGCCACTGGACTAAACCAGATAAGGTCTGACTATCTATCTGTTTAGTCTGCGTTATGTAAAAAGGCAGAGCAGGATTTTTCTCACAGCTTCAATCTACCTTTTTGTGCAGCATCCTGTGTTTCACACACATTAAGTCAGCACGGTGTCCATCTGACTGAACAGCCCTTTTTATGATTCATTAAATCGAACTGCTAGAAAAAAGCCACAATAAAAGCAACAGAACATTTAAATAGCCGGTAATGTGAAGATATTATAGTATAATAAAAAATATTAAAGTTAAAAGTATGACAAAGAGATGTGAATGAAGTTCTCTGGATGCTTTAAGCACAAATCGACTCCACCAAATGACTCTGAGCCCTTTGGATGATCTCACAAACACCTACAAACATACATTAGAATAAATATCTTGTGATATAAGTCTTGTGCTTCTAAATGGAAAAGTATAACGGATGTTGGGTTCACTGCTCAGCTGCACCTTCACCAGATAAAGAAGTTAAACTGGTGGAGGTAGCGATAAAGACCAACCATCAGCTGGTTACTGTCTGGGTGCATTATGGTCTTTATTATGTTCTTAGTGATGTTTCTCAAACTTGTCTCCACTTCTACAGTTTGAAAGACTTTGCTGAGCAGTGGCCTGTTTTCCAACCATCAATCTTTTGTTTGAATAATTAGTTTTCTTCTTTAGGAAGTTGCACAAACTGATTTCATTGATTTATTTTAAATTATCACTTTATCAGATCAACTAAAAAAAAAGCACATTTGTGGTAAATAGTTCAAAGAATGTGACTTTTGGTGCAGCTCGGACGTTTTTATAAACAAAAAAATAAACGCAAAGAAAGCTTTTTTAAAATATTTGTTCTCTAGATTAGATTAGATTACATTTAACTGTCATTCTACAGAGTTTAATATCTAACTAAAGGAGAAAAGGCAGCAGTAAGGTGCATTTTTTTTACAGCATGTTTCAGTATAAACGGTATGAAAAGAGCACAAGGAACGCACTAATATATGATATATACAGCAGTGGGTACAACATGAAAATAGCTCATCTCAATCTAAAAGTAGAGATAGTTTGAAATATTCATTCTTGTACAAGTTGCACTAAAAGTTTAAGAACTTTTTCTAAATAGTACATGAGGAAACTGGTATCAAAATGCCCCCCAAAAAACACAAAATATAAGACGAGCAGCTTCGATATTGACGTTGCCACATTCATGTCAATCACTAAAGGCTCGTCCAGTCCAGCCCTATTACTGTCTGAGCCGCGTCATGCGAGGCCAACATCTTGCTTTAGTGGGATTATGGAATTCATCGGGCCTGTTCCTTGAAGGTGTGCAGCTGCAGTGAGGCAAGAATGAAACCACATGTGTTTGTCAAACACACTTACTGGTTTTACGACATCCTCACACGCTTTGATTTATACAGTCGTCACTATAGAAGTCTGTCTACGTACGAGAACATCTGTCACGTGTCTGCCGGTGAAGTAAACAAGCAGCGCTGGCATTAATGAGTGTCTCCATTAATAGCAGCTGGCTTCAATTACAAACCCCCCCCCTGCTTTTATTACAGCACCACTCAGAGTCTGGGAGGGAAGCGTTTACAGTAGAGCTGTAAAGATGGACGGACCTGAACCTCATCCCGTCTTACGGTCAACTCTGAGTGCTCGGTGACTCGTAGCGTTTAGTCTGGTATCCATCTTTATTATGCTTTGAGATCAAAGTGGGGAAATGTAGTAATATGCACCCACTGATGATGATGATGATGATGATGATGATGTTGGCAGCTGACTAAAGCAGTCACAAACACACATGTCGAGGCAGAAAGCAGGGCTTACCTGAGCAGCAAATTAAGTGCATGAGATCATAGAGGAACTCTCTTGGAACGTCAACAAGCTTTCAGGACACACACGAGTTTGTATGTTTGTACTTGTGCGAGGAATTTTATTCACATTATGCATTCGTTCCCTAACGAGCCTCATGCCTAACCCCAGACGGCGGCCTCTTCCAATCAGCCTGAACAACACTTTAAAAAAAAAAAAAGAGTATGAAACAGACAGAATTTCCTCACATCAGCGCGCACACATGCAGCTTCTTGTTTCCAGGCACACACACACACACACACAAGCGCTAGTGTTTCCATTTCCGATCCCTGTGTAAACACAAATGCGGTGTTAAGGTGAGGCCATGATGGTGCAGACTGTGACATGAGGAAAGATGGAGTGGTGGGAAAAACACAGCAGAGACAAACATCTGCTATCGCTCAGCGCATCTCCCCCCTCCCCAAAGTCACTTTTATGAGATTAATGCGTCTATTTTCAGCTTTTTTTTTTGCTTCAGCTCACGTTTACTTATCAGGACACGGGAAGTTTAAGTAAAGACGGGAGGATTAAGATTTCGCATTAACTTCTGTTGCCTGGAGTGGAAAGGAGTGTTGTTTAGATGAGCAACATTTAGATCATTTACCTACAAAAACAAGTCTGACACATAAAATAACATTCACAGCGCAAGTCCTTTTTATTGCCTGAGACACACATTGTTCTTGCCTCATACTGACCATTGATCAAATTCCTTCCCTAATCCCTCAACTTTACTCTAAAGGTAATCTTAAGCCCTGATTTAAACTAAACTTAAGTAAGAGGCAACGCCAGACGAAATGACCTCATTTTATAAAAATGAAGTCTGAAATTCAAACAGGTTTTCACAAGTTTAAAAGTGCGGCACGTCGAAGTAAACACAGGCCCACACACACACATAAGGGTCAAGATACACACTTCATAGTTTGGCCTAGTGCGCCATTCGCACGCTAAGAAATAAAACGAATGCAACGACTTTTATCCTGATAACGTGTCACAGCTCGGTCAGGTCACTGCCTGTGTGTCTCAGTGACATAACAGAGCGTCCAGCCCTGCTAATCTGAAACTTTGTGCTCGTAAATTTGCTGAGACAGAGATACAGAGCGAAGGACAGAGGTAACAGGAGGCTGGTTTGAATCAGCAGACGCTGAGAGGGCTGGTGCTTTACATTCAGCAGTGAGTCAATGGGTGACACAGCTGGGGATCGACTTTGTGGTTTCAGGATGACGGGAAGACGAGACAACAACATCCCCGAGAGGCAGCTCTTAAATTTTGTTGTGCCGTCCTGGTGGTTTTGGCTTTAAAGCAGCTCATAAGCCTGTGTGCGGACAAACGGACATTGTGTGTTTTAAATACAGCCATGGTCAGCAGAACTTAACACCATGACGAAACAAGTGTCTGTATCCTTTAATTGGCTAAAATTGGCAGTAACAGGGAGGAAATATAAGATGCAAAGAGTCAAATGTAAATTTTGATCAAGCGTGCAAAGTCAGGAAGTTGACATTTTGAATTGTCAAAACTGGATTTTGTGTTTTAAGATTAGTTTAAGGAGCAATAACAGGAAAAATAGAAGAAGGACCGAGACAAGGGCAGAACAAAGGGGGAAATTAATAGAAGTAAAGCTGTAAAATAACTACAATCTACCGCCATTTGAGCAACAAAGTGAAATATTTTAAAGTTGTTTGGAAGAAAAGCCAAAAGTCTCTTGATGTAGACAAACATTGTACGAGCTGCCTGTGTGTTAGTTAAGATCTAACGGGCAGCATCTCTCTTTCCAACGGAAAGTTGACGATAGCAACCATTTCAACAGAAAGCAGCTCAGAGTGATGGATCGGCAGCACGCTCTGTGTTTGTTCCACTGAATTTTTGTCCTTAATTATGTACTTGAGAGCAAATTTGATTTATTTTCCCCGTAACAAACAAGCACACGCACCGACAGAACTAAATGCGGCGGCTTTCCTCCTTAACAAATCATTCCCACAGGCATCACACACACACACACACACAAGTACACAAATGTGCCTCAGATTGTTGCAGCGTCCTTGACTTGTTATTGGGCGTTTCACTCCAAATTTTAGTTAATAGCATATGTTGTGCCAACATCCAAAAACGTTAAAAGGGTCAACATCACTCGCTTAGCAACTCTATAAATACACTTGTTGGGGCTGTTGTGAAACAATGCTTCCTGTAAAGGGGAACCTCTGGCAGTGTCATGTGATGAGAAACGAGAGGAAGCATCTCTGCCTGCCACAGGGAAGTGGTTTGTTCTTAACCCTGAGCTGGACTACCCTGACCTTTTAAGCAAAGAAGGAAACAGTCATATGGGTTTTTTTTTTTTTTCCATTTTGTAAAGCTGAGCATGCTTAATTGGATTTAAAAAATTGGCCACGAATCACATTCTACTCCTACAGCGCTGAGTGTTTACTTTCATCTACATGCAGTTGCCTTATCGCAGCACATTCGATAAGGTATCAGCCAGCAAACAGGAGGAAATCGGACTTTTGTATACATTTTTTTTAGGATTGTCTAAACATTCTTGATGCCCTGTTATGACATATTGACCTTTAAAAGGTGAAGTAACTCAAATCAAATAAACATTTGGCTCCAGTGATACCAGGCGAGTCGTGTCATTTTCATTTGGTGAGGTTTTGGTAGATTTTCTGCCTTTACTATAACTTCTTGAGAATACAGAATACAGTTTGTTGTAATACGGTTAAACACGTCCTTTATCACCGGGATGCAGCACACAAATCTGAGATGAGGTAAAAACACAAACACGGTTCTGGTTCAGTTTCTTCCACCACTGAGCTGCTCACAGCATTAAAAATGACTTTCAATGACAATCAGAGAGAATTCACGCTCATTCTCAGATATTTGACTCAGTAGCTGCTCGTACTCGGTGCGCTTGTCAACACAGGCAGCGACCAATCTGCTTCCAGCTGAGCATGAAATATGATTCCAGTAATCTGCTAATTGCTTTATGGAGCCTTCAAAACAAATCCAAAGTCATATTGTCAGATAAACGGACAATTAAACTTTAACCAGCCTCCGTTTGGGGCGAGGTTCAGTTAATCAGATGACATTTGTAATTACCGTTTGTCTGATAAACTCCAACCTGACATCATCTCCAGAGTAAGTGTGCCACTGTTTCCATCCTCAGGCGCGCAACCACACGGAGCCTCGGGCTGCCACTAAATCACACATGTACGACGCGCAGGCACCTGCTCACGCCGTCCACACTCGAGCGCATGCCGTGGAAAAGTCACACACCTGCCTCGCGCCGCTACACGGCCGCTACATGCAGCAAAGCAAAGTCACACAGAGAACACACACTCACCTGATAGTTAACATTTAGTGTACATCCTACTGGGTGAGAAGGATTTCCTACTCTCT